TCAGAATACACTATGTAGGCCTTTGCATGCATGCATATGACAGTTTTCACGTATATATTTTGTACCACTTTACATTATAGTAAAAGTTAATGTAGTTTTTGGTATAGTGTGTATATATAATATGCGTTTGTGTGTCTGTGTGTGTACTGTACCAAAAACGGTATTCCCTTTATATATAATATAATATAATATAATATAATATAATATAATATAATATAAAGTGTGTGCGTTATACACAGGTATATAAGCATTATATATACAGATTCACATGCGTGAATCTACTGGAATAATTTCCTTCTATCACAGAGCCTAATGGATCCTCTCGCGGATTACGGATTGCCTTCAACAAGCAAAAGGAAATTGCGTTTAGATGTTTAAAATCACGCAGGTGCGATATGAATCGCCTACGGTACAGCGCTTCGGGTGTTTCAGCTTTCTCTGTCCAATGCATTAGTGTTATTTTAAAGTCGCTTAAAATCCGAGTGGAGAGAGAAACGTGTTCGCGTTTGAATGCTCACCGCTCACAGTTTATAACGCGTTTTTTTTTTGTAGCAGTAATGGTTTTATGAAACGATTAACGGGAAATTATAATTCCGTTAATAACGCAAAGGCGCTCTTTCCAGAGCGTAGTGCTCCCAGGGTGTGAGTAGCCCTGAATAGCTGTCTCTCGCTCCGTGGCTCCGTACTGTCCTGCAGGTCCGGTGCTGGCACACACCAGCGTGCAAAGAGGCGGGGCGCTTGCCAGTTCACTGGGAAAGTATGGGGCAGCTAATGACTTTACTGATGTGGGATGTCTCACATCTATTTTGGAGGGCGGCTGGAATCCGTAGAGGCACAGGGGTCAGCGGAGTCGTATTTAGGATTTGGCGTGTGTGTGTGTGTGTGTGGTGGGGGGGTTATCTTCCCTGGACTCTTGGTTGCTCCTATGGAGATTCCTCAGAGCTCTGCCCCCCCCCCCCCCCCTGCCTCTCCTAAATGTCACATCAAGAGGGTAACTAACCCCCCTGCCCCACGCTTGCTTTAAGAAGTAAACAACCCTGTGTTCACTCTTCTGCACCAGGGCAATGTGGTTTTAAAAATAGCAGTAATAATAATAATTATTCTGATGCTTAGAGGCCTGTTTTATTTATGCCGTCTTACTGCCGCTGAGTCTGATTTACAGAGCTGGGTATTTCCCCGATACAGGTCAGAGTCGGCACCTTGCTCTAGGCCGGAATGACGGGCGTCCTGAAAAGCGTGACCCTGCAACCTTCTGTCCGCGAGGGAGTGTCTCCTAGCCATTAAGTTATCTCCTGCAAGGCCGGCACTCTCAGAATCGAGGCTGTTTCTCCGGCCCGCTGACGGCAGTGTCGAGATGAAGGGCCGTTCGTTGGGTGTATTGCTCCCGACGACAGAAACGGCGCCTTTGAGTCTCCAGGTGCTGTCTTAGGAGAAGCGGCTGACGGTGCAGTGACCAAACGTGCTCCGCGGCAGATGGGAGGGCGCCGGTGAGCACTTGGTGCCGATCCCACAGTGCTGTTTCCTTTTACTTTAGGGGGAATGCTGTCACAGATGCCTGCTTGACCATAGCCTGCGCGCGTCCCTTTGCCTGTTCCATATTTTAATATGGTTGGTGCTTCATGTCAAAATAACACCATATACCCTCAAGGATATTTTTCCTTTAAATGATGTAGCGACAGTCAGAATAATATGAATCATGCATTTTTTTTCAGAATGTCTGTGTGGCTTAGCAGGTGAGGACACCATAGCGGTGATCAGAAGGTTGCTGGTTCAGATCCCACCGTCAGCAGGTTGTTGGTTCAAATCCTATGGTAGGCAGGTTGTTGGTTCAAATCCTATGGTAGGCAGGTTGCTGGTTCAAATTCCAAGGTTGGTAGAGTGGTTTCAACCTTTGGCCCCTGAATAAGGTCCTTAACTCCCAAACCAAGGTTTGGATGGATGCTGCTGTCTCAAAAAATGTATGTTGTTTTGGATAAAAGTGTCTGTTAAATAAATGTAATGTAGTCATTGGAATTGTTTAAAAAATGCTAAATGTAATCCATACCTGTGTTTCCAGAATGCAGCTCTAGTTAAATTGAGAATCCTGTATTAATTCATTTCAAAGTGAGCTTATAGTACCAGACTTCAGTAAGGATGGGTCAGGAAGTCTATGATGGATAAGATCAGAACATCAGAGACACCCTGGGCTTTCCGGTTGAGATCAGTTTACTGCACAGCAGGATCTTCTGGTTCATGTTGTGGTACTGGACCACATTGATCAATAAACCAGCCTTTCTTTTAATGCCAGATGCAGAAAAACCTTGGCTGTCCTGTTGCGGGGGATGTTTTTTTCTGGGTTAAATATCTCCTCTTGGATGTTGGCTTTTAGGGTTTGGTTAATGGCTGGTGATGGTAGGCCCATTCGGGTGAGTTACAGGAAGACAGCTCCTGTCAAACACCCTTAATGTCTGTCATTATGAGTCAACCTTGGCCTTTCAGTCCTGTTGTTTTAGGCTGTGTTATGAATTCAGACTGAACCGTGTCCGGTGCCTGTCTAATTCCAGATAAACGCACTGAGGGTCAAACATAACCACTTTATGTAGGTTATCATTAACATGAAAGCTCATTGATTAAGGTCTCAGGTTTAGAAAAGGCTACACAGGTAGCACCACAGGGAAAATGATTAAAACCCTTTTTAAAATAGCTTTCAGCCAGACGACGTCCTGGAAACACGGCTGCTGGACATTTGTATGAGATTCTGCACAACAGCTGTGATAATTCTTATTTCAAAGCTCTAAAGAGATTATTGATCTAGACTGAAGGTTGAATTGTTAATGGGATTCTTTGGAAAATGGTTTTTTTTTGTGGTAAGGATTGGTGGGCGGTGTTTTCTATTGCTCTTGGGGCTTCGGTAGGAACCGACAAAACCAAACTGGGCGGGGGGAAAAAAAAACAAACTCCAGGCTTTATTTTCACCTTCTGTGTCACACCGTCACCTCGGTAGATGTGAGGACTTGTCACTCTACCCCATGCGGACCCCATGCTGCTACCAGGTGGGGGCGGGGGGCTGTCATGTGACCCAAGAGCTGGACGGACAGCTGTTCTGACTCCCACTGACCCCCCAGGGAAACAGCGGACCTTTAACGAAGTTCATGGACGCTGCACTTGTGCTCTGAATCTCATTTCCAGCTCTGATGTTTGTAAGGAACATGAGGGGGAGGGATTTTTTTTTTTTAACTTCATAAGCAAAATAAATGAAAATAGAGAATGAGGATTGAGGGTTTAAATTCTCCGAGGGAGGTGTAGGGCCTTTCCCCAGGGATGCTGACTAACGGCTGCTTATTAACGCAAGTCTGTCAGGGGGTGCCGCGCGCCGTGTGCGAAAGTGCGGCGTTACCAAAATGTCACTCCTGCTCCTGTAACTGCACTGTTTCTTCCGGAGTTCTGGGCTTGAGCCAGAACAGACAGGAAATGTACCGAATATCCTGGTCCGACACAGCTGGGTTTGGAGTCTTTTAATTTGGAGTGCGGTGTTACTGCACATGGAACTCATGTATGTAGTTAAGGTGGGGGGCGGCGTGGCTCAGTGGTTTAGTGTCTGTGACCAGAAGGTCGCTGGCTCAAATCCCAGGGTCAGCCGAGTGATGTCAATGTTGGGCCATTAACCCCGATTGGCTTCTTTCAATTTTATGTCATTGCTGCTAAATACATAAAATAAATAAATGTTAAGCAAGGCCTGCAGTTTTGGGATTGCAGTGAAAACCGGAAAGTGTGTTCTTAGCTTGCATAGCATATCAATGCTGATGGGCGTCTGACCAGCGGGGCCCCCTGCTGGCAGGCCCGTGTGGGGTCTTGGCAAGGCTGGCGGAAGGTGTGAGAGCTGCCGACCATGGTGCCGGCGCGTGTGATTGAACGTGGCGCGGTTTAGCGGCTCGCTGTGAAGTAAAGCCGCGGAGAGCTGCGCTCGCCGTCGCATGAGGCGGCTTCAGAGCTCAGACCGGCGCGGATTACCGCAATTAAGGTGCCGGCTTTCTTCTGCGGCCAGGGGGCATGCAACCGCGATTTGCGGCCTGGTGGCTTTGCAGGGGCCGCTCTGCCCCCGAAAGGGTGGGAGCACCCCCTCCGACTGGATCCCTGAGGCAAGTGGCGCCCCCCTGTGGCCGTCTTGACTTTTCCGTTTATCGATTTCTCCCTGAGGAGATCTGAGAACACGTTGTTGCTGGCGGGTCGTCCCCCCATAACCAGAGAGGAGCCCAAACATAGCCAGCATCCTTTCCAGTGACTGCGATGGGGGTCACGCCTGCCTCTTGGCTGTGCTTTGATTATTGCCAGTTTTCCTCGCTTGTCTGTTCTTTTCACTATTTACTGTCACTTTTGTATTTACTGCTTGTTATGGTTATTTTTCCTCCAGTGTTTTCCGAGGCGAGTTCACGCCGGCGCTTCCACTGGGTGCCGCATTGGGCCCCCCCGCCTCCCCGTGCCCGTCTCTCATTCCCTCTACCCTCTCTTGTGCGCGGTGCGCCTCTCCGGAGTCTTCCGCCACGCGGGCCGGTTGCCCGGAGCTTCTCCGAGCGGCTGCGGACGTGCTTAAAGTGTGGCAGGCGGGGGCTCCATCAGCCGAAAGGGAAGCGACGGGCTGCCGGCGTCGCCACCGGAGACACGGGCGTCGCGGGAAACGGCGGAGGTCTGGGGGAAAATACCGCCATTAGTTTCCCGTTCCTGTAGCTGCGGTGACAGCCTTGTCAGAGCTGCGATGTAATGGGACGTTTTTACGAAATGGGACGAAATAGCGACGGGTGGATTTCACTGCCGGATTCACAACATCAGTGCCTTACATCTGTAATGAGGCCGCAGACATGCAGAAAGGCGCCAAAATGTCAGCATATCGGTTTGAAACTGCCCTGATTGAGGCACGTGGATCCATTCGAGCTCCTCCCCGGGCCCTGGGTCTCGAGTACGGGCGAATTTCAGAAGACACGTCAATTAGTGCTTGATTGGCACTTGCAGTGCCATGTGGGCTGGCTGGCTGCTGACGGTAAACGCTAAAGCCACGAGCAGCGTGATCCAAGCTGAGGGAAGCCGGAGGTGAGCGTACGGCGCTATGTTTACTTCGTGAAATAAGAAGAAGACGAAACATACTTCTAGAAAAGGTACCAAAGGCACGCAGAAATAGTTAGCTCCCTGGACGAGGTAAACAGGCGTTTGCGGTGAAGGTCGCCCATTAATAGAAGTGGAATGGTGAGCATATGTTGGAGACCTCCTACGAGTCGACGCTGGAGACGTCGCTCTGCTGTTCCAGCCTCCCGGACGGCTTGCCGAGCGTCTCGTTCTTACAAGACGCAAGTGAAGCTCTTTCGGCGGCCGGTAATTATAGGACTGTGATATTTGCTTTTTCCTACGATGACAAACGTGCTTTTATTTCCCAAAAAAGTGATGCGCTGCACATTGCCTGTCGCGTGGAATTTTATGCGTCGTGTTTACTACCTGAAACACCCTTCTTTAATGGGATTTTGTCTTTAAATGTTGTCATTAAGATGGCAGCGTGAAATGATTCCATGCAACATCCTCCGCCGGGGTTATAAACAGCTTGTGAATTCGTCCCGTGACCAATCTTAAAAACGACAGGCCGGCTATTGGTAGGCTGGAAGCATCATTGTTTGCGCGCGGTTCCTCTATCTGCTGGACGTCCGTCCTCGTTTGTTTGTGGCATTAGAAATGTTATCTTTTTTTTGTTTTCCAAATGCTTGCCGTCACCGAGCTGCTCCCTGAGCCTGCCTGTCAGCTTCACGGATGCGCAGTCTTTAACGCCTGCCTTAAAGAAACGGAATCATCCCTCTCGAGGTTCCGACGGATTTACCGCTCGTGTCGGGACGGTTCTTAGATTTTTCCGGAACATCCTCGCGCGTAGATGTCTGATGAATTCTAATACGAAGAGAGCCTTGCTTTCGGTTCCGTTGGCATCTTTGGTTGTATAAAGGAACCAAGGAGCCTGCAGCTAAGCTCTGTAGGACGTTGCACTTAGCGTGAGTCTCTCTCTGGGAAATGCGCGCTGCTTTGTTGCATTTCAGCGGGATGCCCCCAGGGGGGGGTCAGGTTTCGTGAAATTGTGAGTAGCGTGCCGGTAAAGCTGATGTCATCCGGCCCTGTGCAGGAAATGCGTCTGTCAAAGCGTAGATTGGAATATAGCCGCTCTTAGTGTCTTATTAATGTTTGCCCAGAACTTGGGAGAAGCCTGTACATCCTGTATTGGAGATGCACAATATATCGGCTAAGAAATCGGTATCGTTCCGATGTTCGTTACAAATCAAGACATCGATTTTGGGCCGATGTGCTAATTTTGGTTGTACTGCCGGCCAATTATTTGACTTTAGTCGATAGTCAAAGTTAACAGCACCATTGCTAAATGCACAACCACTAAAATAATGGAGATGGTTGCACTGGACAATCAGTCGTTTCCTTTCGATAGGTTTTGTTGCCGCATTTAGCACCTAGAACCTGTCTACAGTCTCCGAAGTCGGCGCTGCCTGCGATATATGATGTGACTGCTGCACACATTCACGGGATCTTACAAAGTAACCTCAACGGCATCTTTATCGGTAATCTTAGACAGAAACATATCAGTATCTGTCACAATTTCCGCATCACTGCACTACCACTCACCATCTCTTGTTCACTTTCCTCGTGCAGGTGATGCACAGTTCACCCAGGATCCTTTCTGGCCCCCTCAGCCCACCAATGCCCCCCCAGGCGATGTAAAAATACACCGACAGGAAGTGGGCTGCTGCTTCAGTGACCTGTTTCCTGTAGGCTGTAGCAGGACACCCCCAGAGGAATATTTAATTAAAATGTTAATGCGGTCGTTTTATACGGAAATATAATGACAAAATATAACAGCGGCAGCATGTAATTTTATTCTAATTGCCGTTGCCTTTCCGTTTTGTAATGGGATTTCGGAAATGGCAGTCAGAGTCTTAGAGTCAGATCATTTCTAGTTTGCCTGCTCATTAATGGGATTGGCTACTTGTTGGGTAGGCTCCTCCCTTGGATTCATGTAAGGTTGAACGTGATTGGTTGAAATACATGCCACTCCTATCAGTGACGTGATGGACAAGCTTAGACACTTTCTGGCCTAGTGCTTGATCAGGCAGGCGGCTCTCCCATTGGCAGGCTGGGTGATTGTCTGAAGGTGACTGGGATATACACAGCAGGGTGGGCGCTGTGCCATCTGGCCAGGGGCCTCTTGGTGGTATTGGCACATTAGCACCCCCTGCTGGTCGGCTGACAAACAGCTTGCTGTCCTTTTCGTGCGAATGGAGTGTGACGAGGAGTAGCTGTGCCTTCTGGACGTAGCGTGACTCCTTACACCAGAGGTGGGCAATCTTATCCAGAAGGGGCCGCTGTGTATGCAGGTTTTCGCTGCAGCTCCCTAATTAGATTGCTAATTGGAGGACTGATTGGCTGAAGAGTCCTCACACCTGGATTTGAACAGCTGACTTAAAGGTTATCCCAGAAACCTGCATACGCACCGGCCCTTTGCGGATCAGATTGCCCACCCCTGCCTTTCAGTGTGATCGAGGAGTGAGATGGTTCCTTCCACGCTAGCTAGGTCTGGAGGGACTGTGGAGATCAGGAGCAACAGAAGGAGCAGTCAGGAGGTTGTTGTGGAACGGCGCATCGCGGGGCCCGTTTGTGACCCTGTTTTCCATTTCTGTATCCTGTTGAGGGCATTAACCTCAATCTGTGTACCCAGTTAATCTCCGTAAACCTGCTGCGTTAACCCTCAGAGCTTAACGGGTATGTGAGCGATGTTCTTCAGGGGGAAGAAGATGGCGAAATCAGATTGTCAGGCTAAATAACTGCATGACTTGACAATGTTTCGAAATGTCAGTCGGGGGATGCGTCACGGCGCCTAAGAGCCGGCCAATGAGCAGGCGTAACCATGGTGCTCGTTAATCTCCAGTTAACTGATTATCCTTCCAGGCCGCCTTGTCTGAGGATGGTGTTAGGAGCCTTTGTCTTACGTGTTCGTAGGGCTGTAGCTGTGGTCTAATTGTGCACGAAAACAAAGAAGCTCATTGTTAATGGTCTGGGAGGCCCGCAAGCCCACACGGCAAGGCGGCCCTGTTTGCATCTCTGTCAGCCCGCCGATTATTCCCGAGCGGAAGCTTAAGAGCCGGGATGGAGGGGACTGACCTGCGTAGTGCCTGATTTGCGGTGGCGCCTCAGGGTCGGCCTCTAACCGCCTGTGGATTCGAAAATCAGCCGCAGGGCCGATCAGACATTCAGGTCGTCCCCGAGGGCGAGTCCTGAGGTGTGTCCACCCCGCCCCCCCCGCTGGACTTTATACCGTCAGGCAGCATTCGCCTGGTTTTCTGCAGATCTGGCCTTTGCTTGGAGTCCGTTTGTAGTGTTTGATATCTGAGCCTGCTAGTTTATATGTTTCACGGCGCGGACAGCAGGTGGCCTGGCACTTAGGGATCCGAGGCGAGGTAAATGTGTGTGCGACGGAGAGGGTCGTGTGCCGCGTGCCGCAAACAGCTATCCAGGCAAAGCGATGTAGCATGACAACAAGATAAACGCAAGGAACCCCCGTGCTGCCCCCCCCCCTCCCCGCACCTGTGTCCCACCCTGCAGCACGGCATGTGGCACATCCAATGGCGAGGTGATATCGTCACCCCGCTGGGTACCTCGGCCTGTTCCCGTTACTTTGGGAGGGTGATAAATCAACGGAGCTGTAGGAGCCGGGAGATGAATGCAATGGGGGGGGGCGGGTGGGGGGGGGGCAGCAGCATCAGACACATCAGGGTTTTCTCTTTTGGATGAGGCCCATGTGGGTAGTAAATTGTGTTGGTCAGGAGAGAGACCTCGGGGGGGGGATTTTTAACGCATTGACACACAAACGAGCTGATGAACAGGACGCACCAACACTCCTTCAACTTCACTTAGCGCCCCCTGGTGGTGAAGGCAAAAAGCCAGCAACAGAAGCCAGACAGAACCTTCTCTGGGTTTCCATTCGGGAAGCATATTGCCGGTGGGTTTGCCAGCGGCTTGTGGCAGGTGTGGATAATTGGGCCGCTAATGGCTGGGCCCGCTGTTGGCGCCCGCCTGGACTGGGGGCAGAGATGGGGGCAGCTGGCTTGGGGTTTGAGCGGCTCAGGGCTTTGGGGAAAACACCGGAACGAACGCCGACCCTTATTTGCAGTCGGTGCACTGGGTGGGAATTTGTTTCGTCTCCGTGAACTCGCACGGAAGATTAGTGGTAGGAGAAAAGGCCTATTTAACTTCATGAGTTCCCAGGTGGACGACAGAATCGGTGCCGCCAAAGGTTAATCTCCGCAGGAAATGGAGGGTCTGACGGGGAATGAGGCCTTTCCTCTGGCTCGCTCAACCTTATCTCTGCCTCCTTCCTCCCCCGGGCTCCGGGGTCGGGGCCTCATTTTGGCGTGTCACAGCTTACGAGGAGCTGAGATTGGGGAGCGGGAGGGATGTGCAAACAGGACTGGGTGTTAGGCGCTGTTAGCAGAGGGGGGTACTTGGGGAGAGACCGCCTGCTGAGAGAGAGTCACTGTTTGGGAGAGTCGAGGTCCGGGGAGAGGACGCTATCTGGGGGAGTCGCTGCTACAGAGAGTCGAAGCTTAACGGAGTAAAGGTCCAGGACTATGCCTGGGAGAGTCACTTGGGAGAGTCTAGGTCCGAGGGGAGTCACTGCGTGGGAGAGTCTAAGCCCACCAAAATCAAGGTCAAGGGAACGGACTCTTCTTACCAGGGAGTTTGTCCTTTACACTATCGCATCTGCCTTACTATCGGGGATCTTTGGGTGGGGATAATGTAAAGCGCCTTGAAATAATGTACTTTTGCGAAAATGTGCTATATAAATACATTGAATTGAATTGAACTGAATTGACAATACCTGGGAGAATCAAAGGCTGACGGAATCAAAGTCCAGGAGGAGGACTATCTTGGAGAGTCACTGCATGGGAAGGAGAGAAGAGTTAAACAGATGAGCCTCAAGTCGCTCCTTATTTTCCAGCTACAGACGCTACCACAGTAAGTGTGAAAATTTGTTAGCACAACATGCTATCATCCACAGCTAAACTCGCACACGGGGCCTCCACAGTCACTCACCTCTCGACTCTTTCTGAACAGAGCAGTGATGCTTTATAGGTTAAGGGCCTGATGGTGGCATCAGTGTAAAGCTGAGTAGCTGTAGCTCTTCTGCTGTCGACTGTAAAATGGACCGGAGTGAAAAATATCAGCGTCCACACGTTCGTGTTTGCGGGGGCGCCCCGGCCCCTGCTCAACCGTTCCTCTTCCATTCAAAGCCTCAGTTGGTAATTTTCCATGCTGCGTGTGTTCTGGAAAAAAAAGGGGGGGGGGCAGGAAAATAACAGTGGTGTTTAAAACACCTATGAAAGACCCCCCATGGCCCCACACACAGTATCCCGTGCTGCAGCCTTTTCCACTATGTTCTTTTGGCGAGTTTGCTTCCGGATGGTTGAGGAGCTCCGGCATAGAGAGAGAGAGAGAGAGAGAGAAGTGATTTGGCCCTCGGGGTGGGCCAGCGGGTCCCAGTGCCAGTCTGCTGCGATAAAAGGTGGGGGGTCTGTAGGGCAAATAACATGGCGGGGAGGCGCTAAAAGCACGGTGCACCGCAGACGCTAATCTGCTGTCTCATCTGCGCTTGTCTGTGGCGACCTCTGCCTGTTGTTGTGATGCGGGTGGCTTTTTGTTTCTTTTTTCTTTTTCAGGCTGTCTCTAACCCCCCCTGCCTCCCCCCTAAGAAGGTGGGATCCAAGATAACAAGGGGGGGGGGGGTGATGGGGTGGGGATGGACAGTCCTCTTATATAGAGGGAGCTTGCGGCAGGTTATTCGCTTGTGCATGGGAAAGTGTTTGGGGGGGAAAAAACTATGAAGATACCCATGGTGGGTGGGATTACTGGACAGCTGTCAGTCACAGGGTCGTTAATCCCAACACCCATTGGCTGCTGTGGGTTTAAAGTAGGCAGTAATTGGCCGACATGTTAATCCCGCCCATCTCACTTCGCCCATTGTGACAGTGCTTTAAATGAGCTTGAATTTGCCTTTTCAGTCTGATCTAAGGTGTTGGAATTTTGTGCTGTTACGGGTCCCGAAATTAGACCTTTAAAAAACGTGTTTTTTTTTTTTCTTTTCGCTAATCCTGTCTGTTTTTACTGCCGAGCTCTTAAGCCTGTTTGGGGTCTGCTGGGACCCCACCTCTCCTCCCATCTCTGCACTCCTCTGTGCGTTACGCTCCCTGGTTAAAGTTTCATGAAGTAAATTAGCCGTGGGCGTTGGGCGTCGGGAGCCCGTCCTTGCTCAGGATAACCCACCTCGCCGCTGCACTGTCTGCGATAAGGCGGCCCAGTGACAGAGGGGGCGGCTAAATCCCGCCGGCTTGGTTCACGCGCTCGCCTGCACGTCTGCCTTATGAGTCAGGGTGTCGGGAGAGTCTGCCTGGTCTCCGAATGTCATTCGGGCTGACGTTTGATCCGGCAGACGTAGGTTTTGCTTACAACCCGACGGACATGCGAGGTCACTGACAAACATAACGAGGATGCAGCGGTTTTGTCAGATTGTGTTCTGGGGTTCTAATCGGCTAAGGGTGGGTTTGTTGTTTCTGGGGTCTGACTGAAAAAGTCACTTCAGATGGTGGCTAGCAGGTAGCTGGGTAGCAGAAGATGCGGGGTGGGGTCACAGAGCCGCTGACAAAGGGGAGCTTTGGATGAGATCCATCTTCTGTCATCTCTGTCGGCAGTGTTCCATCATGCCTGGCCTTGGTCCTCTCTCTTCAGCCCAGCTTCTGTTTCAACCCAGCGGCTTCCTCTGTCCTGTAACATTGTGTTATTATTATATTAGTGACCATCAGAGCACGATAAGGCCTCTGCTTTATCTGATCATGACTGACGCACATCAGCGATCCGCGAGTGTGCAGTTGCCATCCCTGAGACGCCACGCCGTCGCCTCATGGCTTCTGCAGTCACGGGTTCCGCTCCCGCTCCCCGCAGGCCGAAAATCCTAAAACAAACACGTGTGGGAGGTCTCGCACAAAGGACGGCGGACTCACGGTTTCGGTAAACGCCGGCGATTCTGCCAGCAGTTCCTACAGACGGGTGACGGAGCGACTTGCCCGGCGGATCGAAACCAATCTGTGTGTGGATAGGTGATAAAAGAAAAGTAAACAATAACTGCTGCCAGCACCGAATGGGCCACGGATGTGGAGCAGAACCGGACAGGCAGCAGCCGGACGGCTCAGATAAGAGAGACACAGCTCCTCGCCGGGGGGGGGGGGGGGGCAAGCATGCGGCGGACAGGTTCATTCCTGTGTGGCTCTGCTTTCTGCTCGCGGCTGAGGCGGGGAGCGGCGGACTGGACACCGGCGGTACGGGGAAAATTCCGAACAGGCGTGTGAAAAATGCGACGGTCTGTAATGCGGAAATCCATCGCCCGTGGAAAGGTCGTCTGTGCTTAAGGACGAGCAAGCCGCCCAAAACATCCTCATACCGCCTTAACAGCCAGAGCCAGAGGTATAGCCAGAGGGTTTCAGTTCCTGCTGTCGGTCCGGCGATGACTTTATTGTGCATCAGTATGGTATTGGGTCACATGGTCCGCAATTTCCTGTCCGGGCTTCTCACTTCCTGCCCCGAGGGTGCAGTCTGTGGACGTCAGGACCCATCTGGGGCTTTGTGGCCCTCCAGCCTCTCTACACCAGAGAGGTGGGTTGCCACGGCGACCGCAGACCTCCTCCCCACGTAGACAGACACACATGCTGTCAGGAATCTCGGGAATGTGGGATTTCCTCCTGAACGCTGACGATGTCAAAACTGGTTTGGAAACTGAGAATAATTTTAAATGTTATATTTTTTGAAAGGAAGCTGAAATAATAATATCTGAATGTACCCGCAGTAATGTTATGATTGTGACTGCGCATTGGAATGCTTAAAATGTCATTTTCTTCTAGTAAGATTCGCTCTCAGCCAGTAAACCTCGTCTTTGGCTTGTTTTTCTTTTGTCTTCTCTCACAATGTGCTTTTCCGCTGCGAGGATGAGAAGCTTCCAGCAAATTACTGCCACTCGTCCCGCCCACCTTTCCAACATTGTCAGTAGCTGTCAATTTTTCCTTTTACGACGGGTGTTTAGGACGGGATTATCATCGGATCAGCATCCTGCGTCAGTTGTACAGGGCTTTTGCAGCTAGCGCCCTCTTCTGGTTCAGGTGGAAGTGACCTGTGAGGCCCAGACAGGAAGTGAGTGACACCTTTGACCTGGTGCACAGCTGGTGCAATCCTGTATTTTCTGATTTCTGCGGGTGCACAGCTGGTTATGAGGACTGCCATTAAAATTCCGAGCATTCCATTGAGAAAAACGGCTGTTTATCAAACGGAAATACGACGTGCCACAGAAGGCCTTCTCTCAAGCAGCTCAGGTCTTCAGCAGCCCAGCAAATGTGGGATTAATGTCTGCAGTGTTTGAGTAACACGCCTCGGTGTTGCGAGTCCAACGCCGGCGCGGTGATTTGTTCTATATCCTGTCCTCTGTCAGACTCACGCTGAGATCCGCACCTCCGTATGGACTGCCGTGCGTCATCCGCGTTCAAACAAATCTTGCTCTCCAATTTATTCCCCTCACGCACGTCGTCGTGTGAAAACGGAGCGCCGTTCCACCGCCCGGGTAAGGAGACAAGATTTTGGATAAGCGGAAAGTGGCTGTTGGGAGAGGACGAGCTGTGTCAGGTCGCTCTGGGTCAGGTCCGGCAAGCCCCTTCGTGCCGGTGACACGGCAGTGCCGGCTCCGCTCAGACAGGTCACAGTGTTCTATCGAGGAGTACCATGCTGTGGGTGACACCCACGTGACTCTCGTTGGTCAGAGCTGGTCAGGGGGGTCTTACGACTGAGGGATACCCAAGTGCAGAGCCGTCTAACCGGTGCCTGGTTTTTGTTGTCAAATTAGCACGGGCTGTCAGCAGAGATGGGGGTGTTGTTTCTGGGGCTCCACTTAAAAAAAAATCACTTTGCCCCCCCAGTGTAGAGAGTGTTGGTGGCCTGAAGCATATACAAGATTTTTGTGGTGGAAAAAAACACCACAACTGGCTGGAAGGACGAGGGATGGCGTGAATTGGATCAGCGATTCTGCTACTTCACCCGTACCCACCCAGCCTAGCCTCCCCCTACCCCCGGTGCCTCTCTGGTCTGGGTCACACATTAACCGGCAGTCAGGTCTTGTCCACAGACAGAGGTCTGGGAACCTTTGCTTTGGCATGCGCTGGTGACGTGCTGTCGGTGTGTTACCGCGTTCCGCATGCCTCTTGTGTTCACGTCGCCGCGAGGCAAAAAAGCAGGCCTGTCAATTATCAAGCAGTGGAGCTATAAAACGACTCCTTTAATGCCATCCATTAAGTTTAATGTTTCCTAATACCTCTTCTCCGGTCTTTATGGAGCATGAATCTCCTCTCTTAAGACCCCTGGAAACATTAAAATAAGAGATTGCTTTTTGCAGCGAAACAAACACCCGTTTGTCATTCTTCAGGCAAATGTCCCTCTCTCTCTCTTTCGGCAGGAAACCATGACGACCGCCACGTCCCCCATCCTGCTGAAATGGGACCCCAAGAGTCTGGAGATTCGAACCCTGACCGTGGAGAGGCTTCTGGAACCGTTGGTCACCCAGGTGAGTCACGAATTGGCCGCTCCATCTGTCACTCTCTAGGGAAAAGATGTCTATTGGATGGAGTGGGGTCAGGGGAGGGAAATATTACTATGGGATAAAGTAGGTAATTTCTAACTGACAGCTGGCTGAAAATGCTGGAAGATCATTGGCAGTTTTTATGGCCACATTTGGGCTGCTGTATTTTAGCGGGGTAATTAAGGTAATTAGCCGAGAGCCGAGATACAGACTCAGAGAGCACGGAGCCACCGTTTTCGTACATTTGTGCATTTGTTCTTTTTAAATGAAATGGGTTTTCGGGTCTGAGTAGCTAGCCTCCGAAGTGACAGGCAGCGCTCTTGGTGATAATCTCCAGGAAAATTGCCACAGTCACTGTCACGGTGAAGCACGCTTCTGAAATGTCACCAGGGTAAGGCAAGGGACCCGGTAGCCTTGATAAGTGGCATTCTGTACGGTTGACGAGCAGTGGGGGGGGGGGGATGTCCTCATCCCGCTAAACGCGGGTTCGAGCATCACTCTGCCCCTCGGGTGAGACTCTTACATAAGTAATTATTCCGGAATTGGTTCTAGCTGCTTGGATGGCATGTGTTTATGTTTGTGGGGGTTATGGCATGCAGAATAATACAGCTTCACTGGTTATGATCCCATAACTATGCGGTGCTTCTCATCATCTTGTGAACACGCTGTAAGGTGCTGTATTTATGCAGCGTAACCTTGCCTCCGAATGGTTATTGAGACTTTAATGTGCTGCCGGAGTTGACGACCCGGACTTTGGGCCCGGGTTGAGCCGTCGAGGTTCTGTCCCGCTGGATCACATGGGCAGGATGGGGACAGCGAGTTGGCGCCTATTGGGGCGTGTCACAGGAAAATGGGTGTTTGTGGCTGCCAAACGGGGTGATGCCCTGCGGGCACCAGATCTGCAGTCTTGTCGATTGAACGGGCACGTAATTCCCAGCCGGCCTGGTGGGGGGGGGGGTGCCGTGGGATAATTGCTGCCATCCCTTGCCAGAGGTTTACCGCTGTCCGCGAGGAGTCCTGGTTTGGTGTGTTGCCATCGCTGGACAGGCCGCAGAGATGTTTGCCGGGGTCCGTCTCCGCTGGCAACCGTGGGTGCGTTTTGTGCTTATTAAGATATGAACGGGAATATTTGCAGCAATATATAAATAATACGACGGTAAAAACTCCCTTTTCACCCTCAACAAGCACCCGGCTGTCTGGGAACAGGCGGACGCACCGAGTGCGTTTTACTGACAAGCATTCTGTTTCTGAACTGTCAGCGATCTGAGCTTTTTAATGTCTGGGAACGGACACCATCATGGTTACCTGCAAGAGAGAACTTCTGAATCAGACTTTTAATGTAGGGCAGTGTGTCCTTAGGTTTATGCCGGTGAGCAGAATTACTTTCCAAATTTGTTCTGCCTGTCTGCTTCTGCGTGCGTGTGTGTGTCAATCTGTCTACTTTACGCAGTTTCTCATTGCTTAGCAGCTATACCAAGAGATCTGTCAGGGACCATTCAAATTAAATATCGCTCGGCATTCTGGGAAATGAGTCCCGGCAACTTTCAGTCATTTTTCTTGCTTGCTGTAATGTGTCGGGGAAGCATTCTGGCTTTGTGAAATGGCTTGAGATGCGAAGACAATCTTTGGGGGAGCGGGATAAGATACTCCGTTGAGGCGCGGGAGCGAGGCATTCGCACCACGAGCTTGGCGGTGATTGATGCGACGTGTCACGTGGCGTTCCTGCCCAGCGCAGCATTTCGGCCCCCTCCCTTATCACGGCAAAGAGGGCCATGTCGGCCTTCCGCACTCTGCTGCCCGCCAGCCCACGAGATGGATCATCTGAGGCCTTCACCCGTAATGGAAATGTACTGTGCGCGGATGTAGGTGGGGGGGGCTTGTCAGTGTCCCCCGACTCCTGTGTCTTACTGCTGTGGTCTGTGTGAGCTGGATCTGTAATGTGGGATTAGCCCTGCTTACTTTGGTCTTTTTGAAGGCTAATGTATACTTCTCTATAGAATCTATGCTATAGTTAGCCACGTACCCTACACGGTAGCTTATGTCATACCCTGCCACCTGTAGTGACAGGCTACACTGTAGACTGTGGCTTAAAATATGTGGTTACTTGTGGCGTAGATTCTACACAGAAGTTTAAATCAGTCTTGCCAATTTGCTCAAAGTAACACATAATCTTCACAGTTGTTTGTCAGTAATTTGTGGCTGAAAATCTATTGTGCTTGCGTTAATTATATTCCATTATATTCCATTTGCAGTTTGATTCCTATATTCTTTAACGTTTGATTTTCCAATTTCTGTCTCCTGAAATTATCGTAGCAGTTGACCATTTTCACCCAGCTTAGTTATACCCAGCCAGCTGTTATTCGTCATTCCTGTCTGGCCCTTGGTAGTTATACTCAGCTGGCTCTTACTCGTCACTCCCGTCTGGCCCTTGGTAGTTATACTCAGCTGGCTCTTACTCGTCACTCCCGTCTAGCCCTTCAGTTT